TGGGCTTCTCGAGTATACCTTTCCTAGGCACCTCGAGAATTCCCGGCAAGGTGCAGTCCTCCAAAGATTATCCCTACACTGTAGAGACCTTTTGTGACCACACACTTCTTCCCTGGTTCTTCCTGATTTTTCTCCCGAACGAGAGTTGAGTCATCGACAAATTCCTTGAAGTGCCTCTGTTTAATGAGGTCCTCAATTGCCTGCTTGAGGGCCCGACACTCATCGGTGTGGTGCCCATTATCCCGATGATAACAGCAATACTTTTTATTATTTCTGGCTGAGGGGGTATTTTTCATGGGCTCGGGCTCAAGCTCCGGCTCGGGCTCGGGCTCGGGCTCGGGCTCGGGCTCGGGCTCGGGCTCGGGCTCTACGAGCAAACCGGCCTCCTCTGATTTATCTAGAATAGCCGATACCAAGGCATTCAGATGAGTATATTGATTCTTATCGCGATCGCAACGAGGAACTGGGGCATAAGATTTCTTAGGCTCGTGCTGCTGCTTCTTTTCTTTTCGCTGATCATCATTAGCCCACCTGTGATTAGCCCTCCTATTTTCTCCCCGGTTGGAGCACTGCCCGAAGGACCGGGGTCGTGGCGATTGAGAGCAGCCATAGAACTTTCAATGTAAAGGTATTTTTTAGTAAGGTTGTAGAAGCGAGTGAGGAAAACATCATCCTCAGATTGCGGTACCTTCCACAAGTCTGTATGCGGGCGAACTCCCACAATGATAAGAGTCTGAACAAACTCTTCGGGAGTGTGAACCACTTTGTGGACCTCCCTATAGAACTCGTCTATATAAGATTGGAGGGGTTTACCCCTCTCTTGTCGTATATTGCTCAAGTACCTTAGCGGCATCGAGAACTTCATGTTTGCCTGGAAGTGCCTCAGAAACGTCGAGCTCATATGAGGCCATGAGCCGACCAATCCTGCTAGAAATGACTTGAACCAGCACTTGGCATGGGCGGTAAGGGTTACTAACAAGCAAAGACATTTTACCAAGTCAAAGACTTAGTGGAGTTCCATGAGGTCATTGAACTCATATAAATGATCCTGCGGATCGGAATTCCCATCGAATGCTCACATGTCGGGCATTTTGAATCTTGATGGGAGAGGGGTAGCCAACATTGCCGGAGAAAAGGGAGACGCCTCTGCGACCTGCTTTTGCTCATTTTGTTGTGCCTTAAGCTGATCCAGAGCTCGCTGTAGTTCCTCAATCTGAGGCAGTGGAGCTACCTAGGGATTACTCTCCACAACGTGGTTCGACCTCACGGTTGCGGTTGAGAAAAGACCGTAAGTCGGACTCTTCCTCTTCTCAGTCGGGAGCCCCGACCAATCTTGACACACCCTGGCTGGAGCTGTGTGATGGCATTGAGCAATTCGGGGAGTCTTCCCGACCTCTGTAGTGGTATGAACCGACCCGTGGACGATGGGGATCTCTTGCACAATGACGATCTAAACCCTTATTCTGGCAATATAAGGAATTTCCTCATCCTGCACCTTTGTGGGAGTGCCCGTGCGACATGGCATGGGAGGGCTCATGCTGTAACATATCGCCGAGTTGTAATGCCACAGGTAATCTACCTAGGGCGCCATCGGTGTTCGCTAGTCCCTCGGAGCCCTTAGGTCCGCTGTGCACCACTTGCTTTTCCTTTCTCTAACGCGCTGCAGTGCGCGCGACATGGCCTTTCGCCCTTTTCCACGCTTTCACGCGACCTACAGACGTTTTTAGCGGTAACACCGCCTCATTGGATTCGGGTGGCATGACCCGATCCAATCGATCTAGCCTTTGGCTAACCGTTTGAAAAGTATTATTGAACTTCTCCAAGTAACTCATGATGGCTAGGCCGGGCTGTGAGCTTGAAGGAATATCCCCCATGATATTCTACTGGACTGGTGGCACTTCAGGAGAAATGTCTTGTACTTGGGGGATTGCTTCATTACCATGATTGGTTCGCTCAAATTCGAAGCCGTGAGCCATTTACTGTTATAGGACCAATTAGTGAGAGATTTCTCTGATGAATAGTAGGTACTAAATCAGGCGCTCCTTCTAGCACCAAACTGTTGATGTTCGATTTTGTCACCAACTACTCGCACGTGTGAAACGTTAAAAAGGCTTAAAAGTCACACGTGATATGAAAAGATCGAATTAGAGAAAGGGTGATGAGCAATATTTAAAGTGGTTCAGATGCTCAAAAACGAATCATACATCCACTGCTATTGTATTAAAAAAAAAAAAAAAAGATCAAGTCACGTTCAGCGAGCTGAGTTATAGTGTAGAGTGAGAATACAAAAGAGAGAGAGAGCTATTTCAACGTAAGGTTGGCTAAAAATCCCCTAAAAATGAGACAGAAGTCCTCCATTTATAGTGGGAGAGTTCAAGGTAATGATTATAAAAGCTGCAAGTCGGTAGGTGCCGTGCAAATCCTTCCCTGTGTCCCATTGATTACTTGCCCAAGGGATTTTCTCGACTAAAGTAAGGTTTTGACACGTGGGCGATCTCCAGCCGTTGGCTGGCCTGGCACTCACCTGCTGTACTAACAGGAGCCATACCACCACTTGCACTAAGCATGACGTGGCCGCACCTGGACGGCACAGAACCTCTCTGAGCTCTAGCCATTCTTTACTGACGAGACTCCACGTCAGCCCTACCTTTTCAGGCATAACATATTATTATACAAGCTTTATGTTTTTCTAAAAAGCTAACTAATGTTTTCTTTTGTCATGCAGTTTCCGATTGACATAGAACAGTATTATATAAAGGAGCAATTGAATAAGAGCGGTTGCTGACCTCATTGGTTGTTGGACTGAAATTACAAGAGTGAAAATGGAGCATTAAACTGAAATTACACGAGTGAAAATGTGAAATGGAGATATTTAAGTGTTTTAATGGCCACATCAAAGAGCTATAAAAAGGTGGTTGTGTTTTTTATTTCTAGATCATTGTAAGCATCAATAATATTAAATGGGAAGATAAAGTTGGTTTATTTAAGCCAATGGGTTCCTTTGGTGGCTCATCATCAATCAAAAAGTGATCTCACCTAAAACAGACAGCATGTTTTTATATTAGTAGTTTAAGTTATCCTATTCGCATTCCACAATAAGTGATCCCATTTAGATCGCCATATATAGAGCTCAGTGGCAATGGCAATCTCCATTATCATCATTTCAATGTCCCAAAAGACAGTGAAAGATCGATACAACTTCAAGACAAAATGACAGTCAATTTAATTCTAGTTAGAAGCAAATTAAAAATAAACATGAAATAATGAAAAGGACTATTACCATTACAGTACTCAACATTTTGTATCAAATCTTTTTTTCTTTTGTGAACACTTAATGCAAATTTGGGATCCAAATATGGATGTCCTATATATGGGGAGTACTTTGGCTTTCATGTGATAATATATGGTCTCTAGGTCTTTCTTAAAAATAAGAAGCAGTGGCAGGGCGATGAGATTTTGTGTGATTAACATTTACCTCTCACGTGGTTTCATTAAAAACACTTTGGTTCAAGGAATATTGTATTACTAGAAATATTATATTAATGGAAAAAAAGATTATTGGGAATGTTTAGAGAAATGTGTTTGGTTGGTTGAAATAAATTGGTGGGTATGTTATATTAATATGTTTGGTTGGGAGGAATAGATTGGTGTGTATATTATTTAAATTATTGAATTGCCCTCTAATTAAATATTATTATTTAGACTATTGTATAACCCCCCTACATTTAAAAACTTAACAAAAACAACCCGATAATAAAAGTTTGAAAAATCAATAATGCACCCCCATCAACCCAGCCACTGCCAACCACCGACAACCACGGCCGTGGGCAGTCGGCAACCTAATGGAGCACAGAAGGTCAGAAATGGCCATATCGACACACAACAGCCATTTCCTGCCTTCCGTGTGCCGTTTCGACGGTGGCGGCGGCGATTAGCCACCAGCAGTGGTTGCTGGCAACCGGCAGCTGCAGGTGGCTGGGGGTGGTGGCTTGGGTAGACTGCAATTTGTTTTGAATGCAAAGGTAATTTTGTCCAAAAAGTTATTTAATTGGGGTAAAATTGTAAAAGCCAGATTAATGTAAATTGATTTTAAAACAAGGGCATTATTATCCAAAAATTTTATTTATAAGGGATAAAATTGTTACAAAAATAAGATAACTAACTAATCTTACGATACCTAAGAAAATGGAAACTATCAGATTAGCTCCTATATTACCAACAGTAACTACTATTGGTATTGCAAGATTACTAAAATCTTGTATTACTTGACAACCAAATGTGATAATCAAGTAATACAAAATGACATAACTTCAATAATCTTATACAACCTCCAACCAAACACCCCCTTAACGTTTAGGAAAATGCCTAAAATTCTAGTTTTACCCTTCTAATTAAATGGATAATGCTAACATTTAAGTAATGGTTAACAATAACCATACATTGACATGTCTTCTTTGCACACATTATAATTTATAACGACTCATTAATTTAAAGTAATACTTAAAATTTTCGTGAATTTATAATGTGTCATCTCATAAGATGAATTTGCTGACTATGGTAGTGAATTTGAGATTTTGATGATACTAAAACAGTTTTAGTGGTGACTTAAAATTACGACTCGACCCTAACACATCATTTTCGATCATTAATTGACTGCTAAGTAGTCTAGTAGTAGTGTGACATGGCAGAGGAATTTTGTTTATACAGCATCTCTTTAAACTTGGGGCAAAATATTGGCTCGAATGCTTGTTTCCACTCGAAGTTTGTCTTAAAGACAATTTCGTACCTAAAAAATTTGAAAACGATAATTATCCATAAACCGTCGATACGTACGACTTTATCCCTAATAAAAGTTACAATCAAAGTGACGAGGATGCAGTCCGGACACAGCATATGACAAGTCAAATTCCAATTGGCAGATGACCACCACGTCAGCAATCCCATTTGCCATTAACAGAAATAAATAATTGAAAATTGTCCCAAAAATTCAGGCAGAGAATGTGAAGACTGAAGCAAAGCCATGTTCTTGCTTTGCTGCCTCTACTAGGACGAGTCCTCTCTCTATCTCAAAATTACAAACTCAAACTCCCACAGACTCACACACAGAGAAACGAAACTTCCTTCGCCAAAAAAAAACTCTCACTCACTCACTCTCCCTCTCTCTCTCTACAAGTTGCTTTGTCTCATCCTTCACCTAAACTCTCTCTCTTTACCCAACATTTACTCTTTCTTTCCCTTCAAATAAAAATCTCGTATAAATAAAGGTGTTGGAGTTGCTAGATCTGAACGCCCAATCCCTTCCCCTTGGTTCAATGTAATTATTAATTCGTTTCCAAATCCATCAATGGGATCCAGTGGAAGTAAAGCTGCTGCTTCTAATCAATCGGCGGCGGCGGCTTCGTCTAGCAAGACTCGAAGATCTAGAGGCGGCTGGGCTTTTCAGTCTTCTTGTCTCGGCGCTCCATCTGGATCTCGCTGCAATGGCCGCCAAGACCGGGTTCGTCACTTTGACTTAGCTAGTGTACCAGCTATTTGAATTTGAAATCTTTGGATTTGTACTCCGGTATTGCCGGCCACTTACTTTAGTAGTGACTTATGCCGTATTATTATTTGTTTTTGTGAAAATGGAAATGTTTATTGCAATGCCGGTAATGTACCGTAGTAGTGCGCTCATGGGATTAGCTGGGGTTGCCTGATTCGATAATGTTACCGGCTTTTGGGAGTTTGGAATCGTCCAATGTAGTAGTGTTCACTCCTTATTAATATTGGTGACAGTGGAAATGTTTATGTTTTTGAAATGCCTGTTTTGTTATGTGCAGAACACAGAGGACGGTACAGATGAGGCTGAGACGGAGTCGGATGAGTTGAAAATTGATAGTGAGAGGAAAGTAAAAGACGACATGTCCTGTATAGCTTCAAATGCTGAGGTTGATGGTAGCAGCTCTAACCGATCATCCTCTACGCCTAGTCGCTTTCTTTCACGCTTTAGCTTCATTCCTGGTAATCTAAGTTTTAGATTAAGCAGAGCAACCAGTTTAGGGTCGTCAAGAGCATATTCTGACGAACAAGAGCTTCGACTACCATCCGGTCATGGTAGTGGTAACTTTCTTGATAGAATTGAAGCTCAACAAGGAAGTGACTTGCTTCCTCAAACTCTGATCAGTCGTCAAGATAGTATGAGTAATTTTCAGTTAAATGGGGTTAATTTGCAAGACAATCGAACAATTTCTTCAGTAGATAGTAGTAGCACTAGAACAGGTGTTGAAGGAAATTTACATTCTCCTAGAGTTCTGAATGAGTTGGAGAACATTGGAACTAGACGGATTGGAGCTCGGGAACCTGTTGAAAGAAATGTTCGTTTTAGCCGAACTCTCAGTGTGGGGAGACTTCGTGATAGAGTTCTTCGCCGATCATCATTGACTGATTTAACGTTTTGTCCTTTGCAACAAGAGAGAGAAGTGAGAGATGGTAGTCAAAGTGGTGGGCGATATCCCTTTGACAGTGACACTAGGATTCGAACATCTGAAGCTAATGCTGCTACTTCTCCAGCAAGATCTGGTTATCCTCCATCCAGTCTGTCTAGCACCTTGTTCGGCATTCAAGATCACGAGGTTGAAACTTCACGATCAAGAGAAGCCAGGTATCATGATTTACTGGAACACAGATCAAATTTCCTTGAACGAAGGAGAAGAATACGATCTCAGGTTTGTTTCTTGCACTTAATCATCATTGAAGGTTTTCTTTAAGGCATTTTCTTAATCAGAGAACACAACATAAGGTCACATGCTTGATTATTTTGAATATTCAAATGTCATCCATCCTCATGTAACATATTCAGTGGATAAGTACATGTTTTTTGTTGTGGAGTACGGTTGTGAACCATATGCTTGTCTGACATAGGAAACTACTCGAGTAACATCGATCCATATAGCCTATTTAAATATAAATTCTGCTGTGCACATCTTAGTTGCCTGATTTCCTTTCTGCTATAAGGCCATTATGAATAAGTTGTTCATCTTGGACTGGTTCCATGTTATTCTTTCTTTTTGATGCTACATAATTAGATTAGTGATCAGTGCATACAATTGTTTAGGTTCGTGCTCTTCAACGGTTGGGAAGTCGTTTTGAGAACCTGTCAGGGCATGAGAGGTCTTGTATCTCATCTGGTCAACATAGAACGGGTCGTTGCACATGTCGTGTAAGTAATCGAGAGGCCAGCTCTAATGATGACACCAGCACTAGAGCTAGCATATCAAGAATTGTAATGTTAGCTGAAGCATTATTTGAGGTAATGTTATTATGTTAACATTGTTTATGATAGCCATTGTGCAGGGGTTTGCCCCCATGTTTCTATATAAGTTTGAGTTTTTTTGACTTATTTTCATTAGGTTCTGGATGAAATACATCAGCAATCTGTGGTGTTATCTTCTCGGCCTTCTATGTCTTCATTAGGATCTATTCCTGCACCTAACGAGGTTGTAGAATCTTTGCCTGTCAAATCTTACACCAAGTCACAGAAACATTATAATGAGGAGGTTGCACAGTAAGTATTATGTTCCTCCACAGTTTAGCATTACTTGTAATTAAGATCTTTGCTGGAGATGGTTGCTCTTTTTATTTTAGTAACATGAGTAGTGGATATTTGGTTTATTTGATGTGTGTGTGTGCTTTTTTTTAATGCTATTTTGAAGATGAATAGCCTTCTTTCTCTGTGTGTGTGTGTGTATTAATTTACAGAGTAGAGAATATTTGGTTTTCTTTGACCATTTTATTTCCTTTCTCAACTTGGAAAGTTATTTCATGTGTGTTAACACTTGGCCTTTAGTTTTCATATTTTAGTTACAAAATATTTATTATTTTGTATTTTGGTTAGGTTTTAGAAATTAATACACTTGTAAGAGGCTTATCATTTTGTAATGCATGAAATGAATCAATGTTACAATTAGCATCTCCTTATCCTAATGGTTGTTTGGCTTGCCTATCACTCAAATGCGCAGATGCTACATTTGCCTTGTGGAGTATGAGGAAGGTGACAGTATGCGGATACTGCCTTGTCATCATGAATTCCATAGAACATGTGTAGATAAATGGCTCAAAGAGATTCACAGGTATGACATATGAGGTGGATTTCTTAAATTTTATCCTATTAAGGGATGATATATGATTGGCACATAGATGTTTATGTTTTCTTTAAATTAATATGCTAGTGAGAGCCATCTGCCCTAGATCATGGAACTTAAAATACATATGTTTATATAGATGAACCATAAAAAAAATTATATTAGAAAACTGAGATAGATTAGTTCATTATCTTTTGTTATAGCTGGTACTCACTAGGTATAGTAACACTGAAGCATATTTATGTTGGCAATACATATTGAAAACTGACGAAAAGGAGCCAACTGCACCCCCAGAATCTTATAACTATAACCTTCATTAGTTGCATATGCTTTTGATCTTCTCACTTCTTTATCTTGAATACTTCATTCTTCGAATTTGGACCAAGCCATACTGACCTGGCTTTATCTCCTTCGTTTCATGATGGTCTATTTAAATTCTATTTCTTGAACGTCTTCAAACTATGCCTGTTACTCTACTTCAAATGCACACACACATGGGATGACCAAAAGAAAGGGTGTGGGAGAGCTTACCTCTATGGCCCCATCTGTGTTTTATCAGATGCAACGACGGGAGTCTTTATTAGGGAATGGTTCCTTGTACCCAACCGTTTGCATTGTTTATATAATGTTCGAACTGATGGATAGGATGTGCTATGTAGACCTAGGACTATGATAGAGTAAAACTTTAAAAGGAGCTAGGCCTTAACTGATGGTTATTCCAACCTTGCTGACGTGTAATTGTCTTTGTTTCTGGAAATATTTATATTGAAACATCATATTAACTTCACAATTGCTTGCAGAGTTTGTCCTCTTTGTCGCGGAGATATCTGCAAATCTGATTTGTTGCCACCCGAGAATTAAGTTTCCCGGTGTTCTTGCTGATGGAGAAGTAAGGTGCCAGGCAAGTCATCTACTTTGAAGACTACCAGAACTCCTGGGAAGTGTTTAAGTTCTCTAGTTGGCAGGTTTTTGTAAGTTCAGCCTTCTCTACCAGTGCGGCTGGTTTGGTGTATGTTTATGGTTTTGATTTCACAATACAAATATCAAACCATGGTAGAAATGGACTGAACTACTTGCATTGGGAAACATAGGTGGGGCCAGATCGAGAGTAGTTGTTATTTTCTGGTGTTTGATATTTGTTACATGGTTCCAAAATATCATTGATTTGTTCAGTGAAATGTCGATTGTGTTCCAAATTGTAGGGTTCTCCTCTACTTTCCTTGGAGCTTATTTCCAATTTTTCTCCGTTAAGAATGATTGAAAGTTGAAGTCACAAAGAAGTTAGAAAAAAGGAGACAGCTGAAAATTAGTATAATTAAATGTCATTATGACACCTTGGAATCCTGTAAAACATGCATTCTTTGTGCAATTGAGTTTAGTAAATGGTTTCGCCGAACGAGAGGAAAACAGCAAAACGAAACCCAGGCAAAGGAAAGGGAAGGTGAAATGTGAATACAAGAACTATGTATCACAAAGCTTTTCTAGAGAAAAAATTAAAGCTTTTAGAATCAAAATTATTTGCCTACAATCTCAGGCAAAAGCTCTTGAACTAGAGTTCGTGAACTAAAACAGCTGTTGCATTATTTTTATTATAAAGCTCAAAAATCGAATTCAGGAACATAAAATTCCATGACCCCATTCTCTGAGCTTGTTACTTGTAGCTATCACAACCAGCAAAATTTAGAATTAACAGAATAATAGAATTTGAGGTAATTAATTCTTCTTGTAAACAAAAGATTTAATCAACAAAGCAAACCAATGCTCTAAAAATTGACAATTTTGTGAATTGTAACAGCTCCCGAAATTTTTTTTTTTTTTTTTAACTTACGAATCACTTTTGGAATTTGGGTTCGACTAACAAAATTGTTGCAGCATAAAATATTCAGCAGAGTCTCTTTTTTGCGTCAACTGACAAAAAACTTTTTACCAAAAAATTGCTTTTATATATATATATATATGTATACCCTAAAAATCAATCAAATCAAAGTTTTATTCATTAAAAGAATTTGGGAACAAATTACCAAATTGTTGTTTTCTCTACGTATTGTTAAAAAAGTAAAAAAAAATAGAAATCTGCCAGAAATCTATTTTCCAGAGAGGTTTGTAATTAGATTAACGTTACACTTAGCAAAAATCGTGTTACTCTTGTAATTATCTGTAAATGGGAAGGGAGGTCTGACAAGGAGGGAGTAGAGTGAGAATGCGAAAAACGAGAACTGAGTTCAAATTTCAACATTTGGAGTCGATAGATTAATTATTATAATGCTACAAAAATGAACTCAATCGGCAACAATATCATCGACGACAACAATCCAAACCCCGACCTCATCGAACCTCTCCAACACCAAACTCAGCACCACCCTCACCCTCAGCATAACCCTCTCCAAACGCAGTCGCAGCCTCAGCCTCAGCCTCGGCGCCCCCGTGGCTTCGCCGCTACGGCCGCCGCCAACGCGATGGGCCCTACAAACACAGCGACCGGGAAGGGCAAAAAGGAGAGGGAGAAAGAGAAGGAGCGGACGAAGCTCCGAGAGCGACACCGCCGTGCTATCACCAGCAGGATGTTGGCTGGGTTGAGGCAATATGGTAATTTCCCACTACCTGCGCGTGCTGACATGAATGATGTACTCGCTGCGCTGGCGCGTGAGGCTGGCTGGACTGTGGAGGCTGATGGAAATACGTTTAGACAATCTCCGCCTATTCAACAGCAGCAGCAGCAACAACAAATGGTTTGTGTTTATAGTAAGAATATTTTGATAGTTCGGATTTATTTTGTGACTGTTTGGTGTGCGAGAACATATGAGAAAATTGCTTACAATTTGGAACCAATTGTATCACTAGGTATGTAGAGTGATCGAGTCACATTTTGCTAAAATAATGCTTCATGTACAGGCGGCATTTCCTGTGAGATCGGTTGGGAGCCCGCTATCGGGCAATTCGTTGAAGGGATGCCCTATGAAAACAGCTGTTGAGTGTCAGCCATCGGTTCTTAGAATTGATGAGAGCTTGTCCCCGGCATCTCTTGATTCTGTTGTCATTCCTGAGAGGGATACTAGGACTGATAAATATACCAGTGCCAGCCCCATCAACTCTGTTGAATGTTTGGAGGCTGATCAGGTAATTTATTTATTAGTTAATTGAGTTGCACTGGACATTGGTAAAAGGTGTTTGATTTTATGATTGTAAAGTTGACCTTCGTTTAGTTGAAAATGAAATTACTGGAGTTGTGGCCTGTGTAAGAGTAGACAGCCATTAGGTTCAATGCTCATATTCTTTCATTTTTTTTTTCTAACTATCGCTTGAGTAAATGAAGAACAAATAAGATTGAAAGAAATTTAGATGGAATTTCTTTCTCTCTTTCATTTGTTAATAACTTTATCCTTAAATCTGATGCCTTTTTGCCATAGAAAAGTTATTGATGAAAGGGAGTTTACGACTGTTATATACTTTGATTCAGTGGCTTAGAAGCCTTTGCTTATGACTTTTGGATATGTTTTTTGGACATTTGGGACATTTGGTCATCACTCATCATGTCAGTTTAGTCCAGAGGTCTTTATAGTTGAGTTTGGTGAACTTGTGCTGATGCTTAATTTGTTGGGTTGACTGTGCAGCTTATACAGGATGTTCGTTCTGGGGATCATGATAATGATTTTACAGGATCACAATATGTCCCTGTTTATGTAATGCTTGCAGTAAGTTTTGCTATATTCTGTTGACTTCTTTTATTTGTTTCTTTGAGATTCAAAATTCTTGCTAGACTTCATCTTCTAGGTTTTCTTCTCAATATGGTTGTATATTTTTCTTTTATGCTAAAAACTTATATTGTTTATGTGCTTTCCCTCAAGTAAAAATTTTCTATTTTTCTGATTGCTTAAACCTCTAAATTGTCGTTGCAGACTGGTTTCATCAACAATTTTGGTCAATTGGTTGATCCTGAGGTTCTTAGACAAGAGCTGAGTCATATGAAGTCTTTGAATGTAGATGGTATCATTGTAAATTGTTGGTGGGGTATTGTGGAAGGCTGGAATCCACAAAAATATGCATGGTCTGGCTATAGGGAACTATTTAACATAATCCGAGAGTTCAACGTGAAGCTGCAGGTGACTTGTTTTATTAGAGCTGTTATATATAAATATAGAACTGCCCCTCTTAATTTAATAGAATATGCATGTGTGATGCAATGCATGGGATTAAATTTCCATACTTTTCCTAATTAAATGTCTTTTTATATCCTGCTCCTTTTGGGTGTGGTGCAAAGAAACTTGCTATTAATTCTAAAATTCCTTAGTCATCATCAAATAGTCCGTCTGTGCCAATACATTTTGGCCTTGGTTAAAGTTTAGCATTTCTGAAATGAGATAGAACTTTCTTAAACAACCTGAAACATCTATATTACACATGACTTAATGATATTTTTATCAATTTTGCAAACAAAATTTCAGGTTTTTTGTTATATCCTACTTCTTTTGAAGTCATGGTGCAGGTTCCTTGAATTTGTAGGTGTAATTTTAAAAACATATTTTGTAGATATGAAAAGAAATCTTAGTCACTCTTAAGACTGTTATCTCAGTTTTTAGCTTTTCTCTTGTTTTACACTTAATTCATTATATACAATGTATGCATTAATATGCATGCTTTTGGCCTTTTCTTTTGCTTCTATGCTGTCCCTAGTTCCTTTAAGAACTATAATGGCACAAATAATTAAACATAGAATTCTAAAGAAACTTTTGTTGTGAATCTCTAATTGCTTAACAACATATTTTTTTAGGTTGTCCTAAGTTCAAGTGCTTAAGTGATTAATTTATACATGTCTTCCCCTATGATCAATGAGGAGTTATGATGCCAAGTTAAACATGGATGATGATTTTGCTACCCTCTCTGTACTAGCTCATGTAGAGATTTGTGTTTTGACTGGTATTATTAGTGTATGGAAATTATATTTCATGATTATAGCAGTTTTGCAATCTCATCAAATTCTGAAGGTTGTAATGGCATTTCATGAGTATGGAGTGAATGACTCTGGTGATGTGCTGATCTCTCTTCCCCGATGGATTATGGAAATTGGAAAAGGCAATCAAGATATATTTTTCACCGATCATGAAGGAAGGAGAAATACTGAATGTCTATCTTGGGGTGTTGACAAAGAAAGAGTTTTAAATGGAAGAACTGGTATTGAGGTACGGGATTTTGTTTTCTGTATAATATAGCCAACCCTCCCCTTCTTTTAATATAAATGAAGTAATTGTTATAAATCTATACACTTGCTTGTGATCTAACTCCCATTTGGTTATTTTAGCCATGCTTTTGCTTCTTCAACTTTGCATTTGTTCTCACCATCATTTATAACTGTTCATTGTAAAATTATGTGTATATCTTAGGAAAAAAAGACAAACTAGTAGCAAAAGGATTTATAAGAAAAAGCTGATCATCATGGGGTTTTTGTTATGTATATAAATCCAGTTGGCACTACCTTATGTATTTTACATTTTAGATTTCTGTTGGTTATTATTATTTTTTGATATTTTCAAATGTATGTAGGTCTATTTTGATTTTATGAGAAGCTTTCGAACAGAGTTTGATGACTTGTTTTTGGCGGGTTTCATTTCTGCTGTTGAAATTGGACTTGGACCATCTGGAGAACTGAGGTATCCTTCTTTTCCTGATAGGATGGGATGGAGGTATCCTGGTATTGGTGAGTTTCAGGTATCTGTTAAAGCTATTCTCATATTATGCAACTCCATTGAGGGTTTCTTTATGCTATAGTTGTGCAATTTTATTCCTTTGCTAAAGGATTCACCATAATTTCCCTATCAGTCTTGTAGTCCCCTTAATGATATTTAAGAACTGAATACACTCAGTTTTGACATTGTGTTTGACCTTATATGGGTTCTGAGTAGAATTAAATCCTTTCGTTCTAGTATTATACCATAACATGATAATATCAAAGTCTCAATGTATGTTTGATTCCCAGATCATTTGAATTTTCTCAGATATTGAGCAAGTAATTTTTTTTTTTTCAAACTTGGAAATTAAACTAAATCTCTTCCACCTCTAACGTGACTGAAGCCCTATCCTAAGACTTTTTATACTTTATAACAGCTGCCAAGCTGGTTGGTAGGCACTGCAAGGCCCACCTTTCCTAGCCAATTGACACAAATGAAGGCTAAAAGGAACTTTTAGCATTAAAGCAAAAGAATATAGTTACTATGTATACAAGTTTGAGGTTGGAATACTAAGTTTTGGACTCAAAAGAGTTTACCTTTAAAAGTTAAGACTTCCTTCGCGCATAGAAAAATAATCAAAACCATTTAAGCTTATTATATTAGAACAAAAACCCTAATAAAAACATTTGGTGAATAACTGTCAATTTGACCAAGTGAAACTATTTCAAAAGAGACTCATAACCTATGAAATCATGTCAACATCATCAATTAGTTTAGGTTCAGCCTGAGGTAATTTGGTAGTCTGGCAAAGGCTGTCCTCTAAGTTCATTTTCAATCAAGTCTGTGAATAATAAGAACCTAGATTCTTATATTTATAGGAGAACAGAACCTTAATAACCATATAAATTAGAAGTCTGAATTACGATTGAAAAAATGAAACCCTAATATAACATAGAATATATGAAAATTGTATTAAATCCTAATAACTCTAGGCCGACAAATGTCAATTAAAGACCGGATATCCAAATTTTATTGATAACTCTTTTTTGGTCAACCATGTTCAAGTATTGGTGATTAATTCCATAATCTGCTTTCTGAAATTGACTATATCATTATTCCAGTGTGTGATTATAATTATTTATACATCTTTTCATCTTTTTATATGTTTTATGCATTATTATCTTGCATGATTTATTATCAGATGATACTATTACTATATATGTCTTGTCTCATTGATTTTCCAAAAGACCTGCTTGATTTTATTTTAAATCAAATTCCAGTTTAAGGTCTTAATACTTCTACTTTGATTTGTCCTCTCTAGTGCTATGATAAATATTTACAACAAAATCTAAGAAAAGCTGCTAGATTGCGGGGACATTCATTCTGGGCTAGAGGACCTGATAATGCTGGTCAATATAATTCGAGGCCTCACGAAACTGGCTTCTTCTGTGAACGAGGGGATTACGATAGCTATTATGGGCGCTTTTTCCTCCAATGGTATGCCCAGTCATTAATTGACCATGCGGATAACGTATTGTCGCTTGCAAGCCTTGCACTCGAAGATATAAAGATTATTGTTAAGGTATGCATGGTATCTTAGGGGCACACTTCATTTCTTTCAAGAACAATACTGTGCAGGCTAGCCCTGAAATAGACAACATCATACTATATGAGTCGGTTGTTATATGTTCTATTATCAAGATAAGTGAGAGTTTGTGTCATCCATATAGATATAAGACCATATGGGAGCTTCAAGATTGAAAAAGCCAATTAAAATTTTCATCAATTTTTCTTCGAGGAGTTAGAATGGCAGATCAAAGTCATGTTTTGCTGGACACCTTTAAGAAAAAAAAGGTAGGATAAAATCATTTCACGAGTACCAGTTAGATGGTACTTACTAGATATTGCAGATGTGGTTCATGTCTGTATCAGCTATGGATACTGAAACTATAACGTAAGTTAGCTATATCAAAAATGAAACCTATCTGTTGATACAAGGTTGCATTTGGTAATTGTCTTTACATTCAGTTCCAAAATCCTAGATGATATTTCAGTGGGATTATTTCACAAAAGGAAAAAGGTAGGAAGAAGCAAAATTAATTTCAAATTATCTTGATCTGCAGGTTCCTGGCGTTTATTGGTGGTACAAGACTGCCAGCCATGCAGCAGAGCTTACAGCTGGATACTACAACCCTACAAACCAGGATGGATACTCTCCCATTTTTGAGGTTCTAAAGAAGTACTCAGTGACAATGAAGTTTGTTTGCTCCGGCCCGAATCTGGAGGATCATGAAGCTCTGGCTGATCCAGAAGGTTTGAGTTGGCAGGTGATGTTTCTTTTTGATATCCCATGACTCGCCCCATAATGTTATAAAAAAGATTATTATATAGGTGAACCAACAGTCCACCCTGAAGTACCAAATCTTTACATTTTTAGCAGATCACACTATAGAAAAACACCAAAATTAACCCTAGAGACTATCCCAATTAGTATAAATATTAACAAGAAAAATGAGACTATTGCAGGTGATTAATTCGGCCTGGGATCGAGGATTGTCTGTAGCTGGTGAGAATGCACTTTCATGTTATGACAGGGAAGGATGCATGAGAATAGTTGAAACAGCTAAGCCAAGAATTGATCCAGATCGCCGTCATTTTTCATTCTTTGCATATCAACAACCATCTTCTTTGCTGCAAGGGACAATTTGCTTCTCAGATTTGGATTATTTCATTAAATGCATGCACGGTAAGAACTCCCAAAATCTACAAGTCATTACTTGTAGTAAGTATTGTTAAAAGCTCAAGATGAACTTGAATGCCTATAGCTCCTAGAGGCAAAGGCACGGAAGTGCAAATGAAGCTTGTGCTTGAATGAAGTGACATTTGCATACTTAGCAAAAAAAAAAAAAAAAAGTGACATTTGCATGATGTAAAAGAGTCACATACATGGAAGTTCACATTTGCAATGGTAGTCCAATCTAGTCTAATAGCTGTACCATATTCTTACCCCGTCTGGTTCATGTAATTTTAGCTTTGATAATTTTAACGTTCACAGAGCATAGACAATAGCTTGATAATATCTATCCTTGTTTTAATGTATATCACTGATTATTCTTTGCAGGAGACGTATCAAGCGATCTGCTTCCCTGATGAGGTTGTGAACTTTTTGCCTTTCAGAAGAGGATGAAGTTCTGGTTTCAACCACCTCCAATTGAAGGGTTTGTTTACATGAAGGTTATGGGTTCAGATATGGCTAAAAGAACTAAATCTTTTAAGGGTCTGTACAAATTTTAGTGGACTATGCTGCGTGGTTTCCGTTAGTTTTCTGTTGACGCTGTGTAATGTTCTGCTATTTAGATCTCTGACCGCAAGCAGGGCAGAGGCATGTAAGATGATTGATGCAACAACACCGTTGATCATACTTATACTTTGTTTGGGTTAGAGAAATCTAGAAAAGTACTGAAATTTTTCTTAGTAGCATATTTAAGGGATAGCTGAGAAATGAAGATAAATTAGTAATAATGATGTCTGTCAACTACCTCTTATGTAAACTCAGTTCACCTCAACTTTTAGTCATGGTTTATACTGGTCCGTTGCATATCAAAAGAACTTGACGACCCCGAAAGAAAATGATTCTATTCTAGTTTCTCTCATTTAACCAAGTAAAATCTAAAAGGTATTAATAGCAACAAACCCACTTTGGATGTTGATGCAACACAAACTTGGGAGTTCTTGATAAACGCAGGGACAATCAACAATGAGTGAATAAATGACAAAAAGTGGACTGCATGACTTAGCCCAAGTTAGAGTTAGATCATAGACACAACATTTGTCTTTAACAAAATTCAAAATTTCTCATGCCCTGTCTTTGTTTCTCCTTGCCTTACATGGTGTTTTTCCCTTGTAAGTACACTCAACCACTCTTCAATTTAGCAAGGTATCAACCATTCGAAGACTCAAATCTATCAGATTCCGATGCTAAAAACTTTTTTACCAATATAACCACCTTAGAAAGCCAGACAAATTCCCTTCTCAAACTAGCCCGCACAGCATCAGTTTGAAAACTTGACCTTTGATCTAACTCGTGATTGTGTTGCGCGATACTAACCATTTCCTATAGTATTTTGGTCCTCGTTACATCAGTCTTTAATCTTCAGTCAGACAGTCGTCCACCCTGTTATCTCTTAGAATCACAGTATTCAGGAAATTCACACTGGCAAGGACCTACTCTCACCTATAGGTAAAACAGAAATGTGAGTACCAGCAGCAACTCTAAAAATTTATTTTAATCAGTTCGTATACAAAAGCTAATTCTCTCCAATACTAATGTCTCTGTTAAACAATGAAACAAAAAAATTAAAAACCATCCACCTTTCGAAATGTGAAAGATACTCTTCTTGAAGCCCTCCTGATCACACTATCATTAACCGTGTCAATCTGTAAAACAACCATCAAAAAACCTCAAGATTAGAGATGGAAAAAATAAGAGCAATTGAGTGAACTTACATATTGAGCGCAAATATATGAAGTTCCATACAAACAGTTTAAGAGATGGAAGTAGGTTAAGGTAAAAACTGATGTTTAGTCAATTAGCATTTTCTCAAGTCATCGTGGAGTACTGGAGATTTCCTAAGTTTGCAAAAAGAAAGTTCTGAAATTTAGCTATAAACTCAGCTATAAGTTTTGAAATTTAGCTATAAACTCAGCTACGCGATAAAAAATATAAATCAGTAACAAGAGGAATATAATAAAGCATAATTTCTGAAGAAATAAAAGGCTATTGCGGAAATAAACCCTAGGCCTTCACAAGGCCTCAACCAAAAAAAAAAAAATATATATGAAAGTAATAAAAAACAAATAAATGGACATGCAAATACCTTATGGTGAGGAATGTAATGATGCCAAGCATAGCGTCCTTCCCCAGATAACAAGAGCATGGAGTGAGGAGGCATATAGATAGCCCTTCTTAAGATACTTGTGCAATTATCGAGGTTTTCGACTTTCATATCAATACTTGAGGTAGCATTAGGAAGCGATGCAGCTTCTAAATACCTCCTAAATTCCATAATGCAAGGACCTGCTAATGAAAGGCTGAAAATTGATCCTTCAAATGCTGAATGCGTATCTATGTGTGGAGATAGACCCACACCAGGTGGATACTCATTAACCTGTACGATAACCACAGATATTCAATCTTTATTTGGGATTTTTTTTTTTTTTCATTTTCCTACAGACAACAAAAGGTGCATTTGACTGATTTCTTAGCATTTCCAAAGGCAACTTCAAATAGTCTAGAGAACATTTTATTTCCTTTTTGCAGTGTTATATGGAAATAGGTAAAAGCACTACTTGCAGTTAGAAAAGCACCAGAAAGCAGGTGCTTCCATAAAAAACTTTTAGGTTCTCTTATGTAGGTTTTTTTCGCTCAAAAGAGCACTGAGAATTGCATCGTAAATATTAAACAGTACTTAAACATCTAGCTTCACCTCTTTCATCTCATAACAACCTCCGAACCATATTATTTCAACGAAAAAAAGAAAGTCACAAGATAACATTGCAAGTACACTGCATTACCGTTAGCTGGTCAAAAACTAAACTTCTAGTCTCGATGTCTGGGAATGACGAAATTCTTTCAAGTATAGAAGAAACAAAAGATGGAAGTTCACCCAAGCACTTTTCAGTATTAACATTCCTTGTCTGTAACAACAAAAAAGACAAACTAACAAGCTTCGTGATTCTTTTGATGCACACAAATACATAGACAGAGAAGTAGTGCGTGTGATTTTCAGCTATAATGTTTACCAGACTCATAAATTAGTCTGTGCTTTCACATACATAGACAAAAAGATAAATAAACAAGAGGAAGAAAGATAAATTTTGACCAATGCAGCTCATAATTTCATGCCATTCCAGTATTTAAAAGATCAAACTAAACAAAGAGTCAGAGCTCATCAAGCAGGACATTGTTACCTACATCATAACAAAATTCATATCCATAATGCTGAACCCTTCTTTTAGCAAGATTTTTCCAAGGCCTACTATCAACTGCTGCAAGCAACTCCTGAAAAAAATTTATAAACAACTCATACACAGCGTAGCATGAAGCTAAAGAACACCCAACAGTCAGTATAATTTTTTTACATGAAATTCAAGAACTAAACGCATACTGCTTGCTTACTGCCAAAGAAGACTGAGAATACTAACCTCTTCTTCTTTGCCACTGATAAAGTCATGCCACAAATAAATGCCGGGAATATTTAACTCTAAAGTAGACAACGAAACGGGAACTGAGTTATTGACTTGACCCTACACACAATTCAAAATTAACAATCAACAACAACCAAATATTTGGTACAATTTTCTTTGTTCTTTTTTAGATTTAATTCTACCCGAGGAGTTGGTGGTTGAAGTACAGAATAACGAATGTACAAAGAGCGGCCTCCAAGATCGGGACAGGGGCATCCGTTCAATGACTTTAATGCACTCTGAGCACAACTCTCATCAAAATACGAAACAATAACACGAGCGCCGCTCTCATCCGCTGCATAAACTCCTTTCACCGTCCCGAAGCTGCTAAACACAGACTCAATGGCTTCATAAGAAAGTCCGACCGCCGGCCCACAGTTAGCCACGAAAAGATTCGGACTTGATTCGCCGTCCCCCGCCTTGGCTGGCCTAAATCTGGGCACGCCCATCCTTTTTGAAATGATTGTAAAATACAATTGAAATTGCAGGAGCAAGTAGAAGAAGAAACGGTGTTGTTCTGTTCACAGGCGACTGGGCCCCAAAAAAAGCCCATTCGTGATCCAGGTCGGCCCGCACAGCCCACAAACGAGACAATACTCGATAATGTTTGTTTTAGTATTTTTTTAAAATTTCAACTTCTTACATAAGATAAAAAAAGAGCTTATTTTGAGCTTCTTTTAAAAGTTGTTAAATAACTTAATTTTTTTTTTGAAAATGTGAATTTAATTAAAGACTCGAAATATAAAATTTTTCAGTGTTGATTTGTTTTTTCTTTTTCTTTTTTTTTCAAATAAAAAGAGCTAATTATGGGCACAGAAAAAATGCATAGGCTCTCACTTTTCCAATTTCCAGTAATATATATATTCTCTGAGGCAAGACACAAAAATTAATTGTATTTGTACTCGCTAAGAATAATATATGGTCATAGGATTTTGAAAAGAAAAAAAAAAGTACTAGTACAGATTTGCATCAGCTCACTCTTCTTTAATCAAGGAGAATTTCCCGGGGACAAACCTATACAAGCCTCTTTACCGATACACCATACTCGACTCAAACTTGGCGAAGCACTAACAGAGCTTGTTTTGGTTTCATTGCATGAAATTTCTGAAACATTATAACTATTTNTTCCAGTAATATATATATTCTCTGAGGCAAGACACAAAAATTAATTGTATTTGTACTCACTAAGAATAATATATGGTCATAGGATTTTGAAAAGAAAAAAAAAAGTACTAGTACAGATTTGCATCAGCTCACTCTTCTTTAATCAAGGAGAATTTCCCGGGGACAAACCTATACAAGCCTCTTTACCGATACACCATACTCGACTCAAACTTGGCGAAGCACTAACAGAGCTTGTTTTGGTTTCATTGCATGAAATTTCTGAAACATTATAACTATTTGCGTCAAAACCATTGAATTTTCCATCTACTGGGTTCATCTGATTGATGAGCGAGTGCCTAACGCGTAGACTAAGCCACGGCATCTCCAAGTTTGCATTTGTTTTTGATCCTGGAAGGTGATATTTTGCTACAGGTGAATTGGGATTGCTCACAGCATCTTCTTGCAGAATATCTCCGATCCTAGACAGTATGCTGAATGCCAAGTTTCCAAGAACTCGCGAGTATGCTTCTAGTATTGAATGCCCAACATCCTATGGAAATTGTAAAAGAATAGCAAGAATTATTTCTGCCAACGAGGACTATGCAACATGGTCAAAAATATTGTGAATCTCCAACAATATGCATTTATGTCTTGAAAAATAACCAAATATAGATTACATGCATATTAGCATAGAACTACTCACCTTGCCATATTGGATTTTTGTGGCCTCAAGAAAAGTTTGAGGAAGGTTAGGATTTTTAGTCTTGAGATGCTGTATAAGGGCTTCGGCTCGTTGCAATAGTGACTCTGTCTTATCCAGCTCGGATAAGGGATCTTTGATGAAGGACCATGACGTCTGGACAGGTGATTTACCAGTTACTTGTTCAGTAATTCTTTCTTTCCAAGCGAACACTGCAGCTTCTAACTTGTTGATGACGTCAAGCACACTGTGTTCTGATATTAAATTCAATAGATTTAGCATTTCCTCAATGGAGCTTGATTCTTCGCTCAGGACCTTGTACAATTCCTCACCAAGACTTGCCTTTCCAGACTGCATGAGATTTAGAAACAATGCTAGTTACAACAAATGAAGACTGATACCTTAAAACATTATCTAAACTCTTATCATCAGACAAAATTATGATCCTATTCAGTTCATTCAGAATGGCCACCAACTGAAATAAATCAAATAAAATCAGTAGGTTCCAGTTTTCATTTTCTTTCACTACATTTTCAAAGACCTCCACTTTTTGCTGGGTGATTTTGTAAATATGTTTGTTGCTTGTAAAAGAAAGAAGTTCGCAGCTGTATGCTAAACAAGTTGTTAGAATCCTTGTTAAGGGTTTTGGAAAAATGAATGCAAAGGAAATACTAAAAATACGTCCAATAATGTTTATATAGATTAGACAGGTAAAATGAAGGTAATTATGTTTGTTGCTTGTAAAAGAAAAAAAGTTTGCAGCTGTATGATAAACAAGTTGTTCGAATCCTGGTAAAGGGTTTTGGAAAAAAGAATGCAGAGGAAATACTAAAAATACGTCCAATAATGTTTATATAGATTAGACATGTAAAATGAAGAATCATATCATTGTAAAAGGCTAGCAACTTGAAAACAGTGTATAGAATTGCTAACCTTGGGAAGTGCATCCCTTATAATGCTTGGCACAGGCATTTCAAGCAAAACATTCTCATTGATGGATTTGGCAGCCTTGAATACTTGATACACCACCTTAGCCTGAGAAAGCAATTTTTTCCTCTCCATGTCAGAGATCCCATTTGCCGGTACTTGGGGCAATGGGAGCCACCATCTCTTGCTCTCTCTAGTACTCTTGTTCCTTCCTTCTGCACGGCTACCCACTTCTGCATACCAAAACTCAGTATTCACCATTGAATCCAATGTCTCCTGCCAATTAGAAAAGTTGAACCTCACAATCATGTATATGATATAAAGATATAAGAAGCTCTTTCAACATCAAAAGGAATGAAGAATTGCCTACAAGAAGCATTGAATCCAACTTTTGAAGTGCCGGAAGATTCATGTGGATGTCTGCACGAGCCTTTGGAGTCATTATCTGCTCCAATGACAAAACTAAATATCACCAAATGTATAATGCATATTGGATCAATATTCTATATCCAATAAAATTATAAATACCTCCAAGGTTCGGCCATTGCCAGCATTTTGCTTTGCAGGAACTAACTCAACCATATAGTTTGTTGGAGAGAGCAACCACTCCATCTCTCTCTGCCATTTGCTCTTCCTTTCTTCAGGCAGTGGCTCCAATTTCCACAACTCCCCAAAGACTGAGGCTGCAAATAAACAGGACAACTCCATAAACACTAGGCTCAAATGGTCTGCAGCGTGGTCCTCAGCAAAGATTATCAGCACTTAGCAAGTATCTTCACTTTATATAATGATATGTGTGTTATTGCGATTTGCAAAACTCTTATACTACATCCTTGTATTTCAGTCAAAGCTCTAAAATTAACTTTTCCAGTGAACTTGGTCTCTAACTCCAACAAATGGAATGCAACATGGATCAGTTTCCATATTTAGGCATACTGATGCACAGCTTCTCCATATACCCCATTTAAATATCCATAAGTTCCTTGTACTTTTCATCAATTAAGACTAGTCAGTTACAATCCCAATACACAGCTAACGACACAAGTAATATGTTTTGAAGCACATCTCTACTAAATAATAATTCAGAAAATTTCTCATATTAAAATTATAGCACAGAAAAGAACTAATAAGCAGTTCTTATTTTGATAAGAGAATGGAGCTTAAGCCTACCTGCAAGATTTGTTATGGCATTTGACAATGCTAGTGCAGTGGTGACACCCATACGTCCCCCACTAACATCTTCACCCAATAACAGCTTTGCAAATTTTTCTTTCATTGTCTCAACATCTGAATATCGAATGGCATAAGAACGTTTCTCTTTGACATAAAAATGTTGGGGGCTTTCAGAGAGCTCCCAATCATCTGAACCCTGGTCATCCCTCTTCCCGGGCAACCATTTAGAAGAAAATGATCCAAAAGCATCTCTGCTAGAAGAACAGCTTGACTCGCCATCATCCAAGGAGTCTGTGACACACCCTTCACCTCTGCTTCTTCTACTTTCATTCTCATAAGATTGATTATTGAGAATACAACTCTCAAGGCCATTATATGTCATTATTCCTGAAAATTTATCATCACTTTTCTTCCTTAAAAACTGAAACAAAATGTTGGCATTTGATTCAAATAACAAATATATAAATAACCATACTTCCTAACTTTTTGGTTTGAATTATTAATTTCTGTAGATTTTAAGACAAATTCCAAACTTTTCAATCATCTACTTCATAAACCTATAAGTAAAACATGTCATATTTTATTTGTACTGCCACCCTATAATTAAAAATAAACTTCCAGACAACACCGATATCTCTAAAAAAATTCAAAACGTAGATAAAGACTGATTTCTCTATGTTGTGAATGCAAATAAGTTTAATGACCATAAATTAAGCTTTTATTGTTAGACAAGTTGAAAGATTATTAATGAGGATTATTTCAAGGGAGGATCAATTAAAGATCTTAATCCCTTGCAAGAAATCACTCACAAGAGCTTTAGACTGATTCTTCCCGGCTTTGCTAGAAAAAACATTTTCAGAAACCGCTTTCAAATAAAAAGAGCTTTGGGGAAATGCATCTTCAACTGTTTACTTTTAAGTTCTTCCCCAAATAGAAACCCATGTACATTTTTATCACAAAAATAATTTTCATCTATCTTAACCAAATCTACAAAACTGCTTTTGATTATTAAAAGCATTCATTATAAGCTTTAAGCCAACACACTTTTACATGTAAACCAACACTACATGTTTGAAGAACCAGGCGTTCTGAAATTTAGCTTGGTTTGAAAAAGGGAAACTCAACATATCCATGCACACAAGATGGATATGTTTTGTTCATTTTAAGTTATGTCAAAGCAATTTCATCTTAAAGAGCAAGTTTTAAGTGAGAATTTTACAGGATAATTTTATGGGCATAGAATGATATATACACTTTCTGTAAACCGTACTGGGTTATGCGAGAGAGCCGGTTTCCATATTTTTTACAATCTTAAAAAAATAAAAAAATTCCATGAGTGGACCAAAAGGTTTACCGGCGGTAACAAAAAAAATCCTCTCAACATTTCCTAAAATTTTGCTCTTAATACGGACACTCAAAGACATCAGAAATTTGCTGATGTCTTACAAAGGTATCAAATCAAAAAGGAAATTTCCAGGAAACCCTTCAAAATTGTCATTGACACTCAATGACTAATGTTCGTATCAACAGCCAGAATCATTTAATTTGTCTCACCTAATTTTTTTAAACATTTGGTGGGGTGATAAAACGTTTTGGAAACCAGAACAGGACAAAAAGAAATAAAAATAAGTAATGGACCACAGGGCAGACAGGAATCCTTCTAGTGGGAGCTTAACAAATGAAACTATAATTATTTTCACGAGAAAAGCTTTTAGACAACGACTTTTCTGTCCCCACTCAGTTACTTCGTTGTCTGATTTAACGGAGCAACAGTTTTAAATTAATAAATAGTACTACACTGAGGTCCACCACTTACCAATCAAAATACTTAAAATCAGGAAAATTACACCTAGATCCTTAAATTTAGGTTAAAAATAGATGATACTTTATGATTTTCAAAAATAATAACTAGTTTTTCAAAAATATATTCTTTACCAATAACAAAAATAATGAACAAAAATAATCATTTACTTGTTTTGATTAGTAAAATTTCACAAAAGTATCCCTTGCCTTTTGCAAATTAAAAAAAATAAACTCATCTTCAAAGACTTTTATTCATTCAAATGATAAGATCATAAGATGATGTTTTAAATTTTCTAGTCAAAATAAGTCAGATAGTTAAAAACTTAAAAACTAACAAGATTACCTAACGGTAAAGCTGATTTTGACATTTTTTGAAATCATAAGGGCATAATTGAAATTTTCCCTATTAAATTTGATTTCTTAGTACTATATTATGACTCCACATTAGACAATCGACAAATCACAATCACTTTATTATATTGTAATTGTGGCACAAGCCTTGTCAATTGCCATCCTTGTAAAGTTGAAAACAAAACCGAAAAGTTGAAATTATATTGGATACCCCCATGTGGCTTGCACGTATGTAGATACTATGCGCCATTAGCTTGGGCCACTTTCTAGTTAGTAGAGCTATGCAGGGGAGACAAAGTCAATAAATCTAGACCATATCTATTAATTGTTAGGATCAAGCAATGTAATTCGAATAAGTGCATATTTTCAAACTTTCAATAGCACCAAAGGTTGATTTAAACACTTAAAAAAAAAAAAAAAAAAAAAAAAGGAGAGAGAGAGAACATGCAATTGTAAAAAAACAAATATTAATTTTATGAATTCAAATAAATGTGACCTCTAATATTAGTAGAGGGACCAGAGAATCGTAACACTCATGGTGCTATAAATGCTCTCCTGAAAATTGAATAGAAATATATTTGCTGCATGCATGTATGCTGATAATCCTACTACCTGCCAATTAAAATCAATGGGACATTGTCCTTACACATCTTTACACAAAAAATTTTGGTTGTGACAGCTAAGAAACTCCATTTTTAATTTAACAGTTCTAGAAATTAAAAAATATATTAGCATTAGAAAAATTCAATAATTATTTACACATAAACTAAGTGTCATATTTATTGATTCTGACAAGTCTATGTATACCTACCTCATTTTGAAATCAATTCCATGTGTTAGGTGTCTTGCACAGCAAACAAAATGTGATATCCAAAGACCGGATGGATATTGACTCAAACTCTTATGTGAGTGGGGGAGTAAATGTAATATGTACATCTTAATTATTTATACAAGTTGTAATCTCATATTATAGTTTATGTAGAAAAATTGCTATATGTTAGATTTGTATGGAAGGGATGTATAGATTATGCTGTTGGTTTGCTACCTGATACTAAAAGTCTCTCCAATTAGACCGAACCAAAGAGTGAACACAGCATAAATCACGGGAGATAACAATAAATAAACAAATATTTGCTTACTCTCTTGTTCATCAAAATCGAAGCTGAGCTCTCTGTCCCGGGTGCAGCAAGCGAGCCTTCTTCTCATCATCATCATTTTTGTTCGTTTTTATCTTGTAATACCTGGATTCATTTATTTCTTTAGGGCGGAAGAAAATATAACTTCCACCTCAAGAATGCTAACAAAACGATGTGTCGATGATTGCTCAGCGGTGCGCCATGATCTACAACAATAATGATTTCAAGTGTAAAGTATTTGACCAAATATAAAACCAAGCCATGAAATATTATCGTAGATGAGTTCTTTCATTTAATTTTTTGTGTTCTCTAAAAATGTTTTTTAAAAAACATAATTTTCATAAATCATAAAGAACACTAACTAATTAGGTGCAAGTCTCCAGCGCGTGGTTCATGTGGACGATTGAATCCCACATGTTCCTGTATTTTTTTTTTCATTTCAAATCTCGAATATATGGACATAGTTTGGTAACATGCAGATGGTCATCTTTGAAAACTAAATTATCCCCTTAATAATTGAAAAAAAAAAAAAAAAAAAAAACAGAGGGAGACAGAGACAGAGATGAAGTTTATAAATAATCAAGCAATTAGTTCGATTAGAATAAATAAATTAACAATGTTAAAATATAATTATAATAAAGCAAGGTACACAAACAATATTTGAAACACGTAATACAGAATACTTTTTGGTAAAGTGAGTGATTATGTGAACTTTTTGTTTCCACAGTCAAAAAAGGCAAGGTCATGAGTTAATGACTCAGATAGGCTCTCTTTGACAAAAAGCTTCACAAAATAAATCTAAAGCTGAGAAATTAAAAACTGAATTAGCAAAAAGAACATCTAACTTTATCCAAAACGGAGAATCCACGTTAAGGAGCTAGACTCGAGATCTACTCCTTCAAAAAGCTCATGTTGTTTATGCATTTCGAAAAGCGGTTTCAGCTTCCAGAATCAAACAAACAAACACAGATTTAATCTTTCAAATACGATCTTGATCCATATAACAGCAAAAGATTAGAAACAAGAGTACTGAATACTGAAAAGGCTAGAAAAACAGAAAACAAAAAGTTGCTAATTCCTCAAAACAGAAATGGAAAATGGAAGCAGACCTTGATTTGTGGAATGATTCTTCCAATGAGCATTTGGAGCATCTGATTCTGCGAACTAAGAAACAAACTAGTTATAATAAGAAATGCCCCAGTCAAAAAGAGTAGGCAGCACGGACACGAAGCAATGGATCATTGATCAGTGTTTGAGTGTTTGACTGACTGAGAGAGAGTATTGCAATTTTGAGCTCGGTGGAGAGAAGAGAATATTACGGACGCATTTAATGGAGCCACACTAAGAGGACTGAGAGAGAGTGAAGATAATATAAATAATATGCAGAAGAAGAAAGCGAAACCAACCAAAAAAAAACTTGTAAAAAAGTAATAATAAGATAATATATAATATATAAAAAATGCTATTCTCACAAAAACATTAGAGGGTTACAAAGTCGCACCAACAAGAAAAAAAATATAAAGAAAAAAAAAAAAATTATGAAAATTAAAGGTAAAAATTATCTTTGTATACACCTTTTATATGCATCTTTGTAAAACTAACATTATTCATAATATATTATTAAAATTTTTGTTTTATTTTATTTATTCATTTTTATATTGTGATATCACATTTATTGCATGAAACATTATCTTATTTTTATACAATAATATTGATCAAATTAAATGAAAAATGTTAATGAAAGTCCTTAAATAACAAAACTTTGACAGATTAATTTTTTTTTTTAAAGAATGTTTATTTGTAATATTTATTTTTGTTTTTAGGACAAGATTTCTTGAAGAGCAAAATGATTGAAAAAGGAATAAAGTGAGGGGCTGTGATTTGTGAAAGCTTTGACACGAGCTCCTCCCCACTGACTGTATGCTCATCATTGCATCTGGATCGTCTACTTCAAGTGGAACTGAGAGAAAGTGGGGGCCATTGATATTTGACGGCCAGAATGTAAAACAGAAGGGAAATGATGGTTGCCGAATTGAGGACCGGTCGATGGGAACGAAGGTCCCACCGGCCCAGGGAGAGATGGGCAGTATCGCGCAGGCAGCGTTGCGTTTTTGTTTTTGCTAAAATGTAATTTCAATTTCAAATGGTAGGAGCCTATTAAATTACAATTAACACATTTTTTTTAAAAGGAACTCTTGTTGTTTAAAGAGAAAACATAAGTAGCAAAGGGTGATCGATTGAAGTATTTATTCATACTATTTTGAAGTATTTTATAAGTTCAAATGATCATAGAAAAATGAAACAAGTGTAAATTTATCTTATGAAATACGAGACATTGAATTCAAAGCCCAATAAATGATATGTACCTTGCCCCTCCTTACCAACTCTTGCAGAAGGGGCAGAGAGAATTGAATGTGAAGTGCAGTGGTGGGTGAGGTTTCCCCATTTATTGTGAAATTCTAAGGTCACTAGTAAAAGTAGGCCGGTAGTATTTTCACCATTAGGCGGCATAGATGACGAAACTTGAATTCAATTCAAGATGTGACTCATTTAAGTATAAATGAAACTTTGAATGAGCCTTGCCTTTAAAGTTCTCATTACCACTGCTATTTCAATTACTTGGAGACTTGGAGCTAGCTGCTACCGGTGAAATCGACTCGATCTCTATAATACCGGTACTTGAACTTGATTTCAAGCTCATCTAATAGGGATAGATTTGTAAATTTCATAACTTTTAAATTACATAGGACCTCTATTACTTTAAAAACTATCAAGTTAAGCTTGAAAATACTTGCTATCATATCGAATCGAGTTCTACTGTAATCGAACTTGACTTGATTAACTACTCGAACTCGAACTCGACTCGACTAATATTGAATTGAGTTCAAGCCAACATCAAATCGAGTTCGAGTAGCTCACAAGCAGCTCGACTCAATTTTCACCCCTAGTTAGAGTTATCCCTATTTTGACCTAAAGGTGGAAAATAATTCATTTAGTTTTGACACATGTTTGGGTTTAAGTTTTTGTTATTAGTCTTTTTCGAGATGACATATTTATGTCACATGATTCAATCGTATAATTACCCTTATTTTTTATCTCAATATTAGTAAGGTAAAGGATATCTTTAGACGTTTGTGTGGTGAAAGGGTACAACGTTCCCTATGAGTATAGGATCAATCCCTCCTCATATCTATTTTTTTTTAAATAAAAAATAAATAAACCTAATTGTATAATTTTTCTTACCTTTATATTATAATATCTGATTAATTAGTAGCTAATTCGTATGATTAAATCTCTTGAAGTTTATATAAACGTTATTTTCTTTACATTATTTTAATGAATCAATATAATTAAATAAAATGAATGTGTATGACACACATGGTATTAATTTGTTGGAAACATAATATTACAAAAAGAGAGTAATTAAATGGTACAAATTAATACTATGCCAAATATCAGTGTCATTAATTAAATTCATAGTTACTAATCTCTAATGCAAACTAACACTTAAATAAATAAATAATGTCTATATCCAAGTCCAAGGTTCAATAGTAGAAAATAAAATACAACATGTGGGTGTGTTTAATGCTTCCTAAAGAGGAGGGAACAAATAAGGCTCATCATCATCAGAGATGTGACATATGTCCCATGTAACAAGTTCAAGGTTAAAATTAATTAAATCAACATTTAGCTTTAGCATATTGTTTATCTAAATCATTTAAAGTTGTAGTTGAAATAGTTAGCACAGTATAATTTACATAATTTATTGAGATTAAAAATAAAAAATTTGTATATTAAGAAGGTTACGTTTTAATTATGGAGTGTAAATTCTTTTTTCCATGGCCTATCTCTCTCTCATTTAGTATATGAATAAATAAGTCACATGTCACAATTTCTTATTTTCAAATAACATTGTTATATTAAAAATGGACTGTATACGGCACATGTGACTTATTATTATTTAAATGAATAGAAAAAGAAAAATGAAGAAGAGATGTAAGTCTCGTCCAAGCTGTGTTCTCACGTCATGTGTGATGTTGCACCAAACTGAAATATGAAGAAGACACGTGATATTAAAGGACTGAAAGACAGACAACAGCTATTTTAGTTTCAGAATCTAATTAATTTATAATCATGTTAAATTTCAAAACACTATCCAATTGAATTTGAATGGATCCTGTCCCTGTGTGAACAACAGTAGGCTTTGGAGATGCAAAGTCCATTTTTGACACTTTTAAATGGATGATGCCATTCACGGATCATATTACTGTTCTCGTAAGAGTAATAATTTAAATTTTGAAAGTTAAGTTAATTAATTATCATTAAAATGTCATAATTATACAATACAACTCCCTAAATTTCGACAAATGTAGACAACGGAAAGAATGTTGATGTTATAACTTACAATGAAGAATAGAAAGTTCAATTAATAGCATTAGACGTCAAACATTAACATTACAATATGCAACTTAAAATAACTAAAATATATTAGAGTAATGCTGGTTTTACAAAGACACATACAAAATGGGTATACAAAGACAATTTCTACCCTTGATTTTCATGAATTTCTTTATCTCCCTTTTTCCGTTTTTTCTTTATTTTTTTTTCTTGCTAATGTCACTTTGTAATCCTCTTTGTATTAGTCTTTGTAAGGATAGCATTTTTTAATATATTATCAATCACATGTATGAGGGTAGAGCCGGGAAATTGATTTTTGGGGAAGCGTAATATTCAACGAACAAGGGTTCAAGAAAGAAAAAAAAAAAAGTTGTATTAGAGAGGCCAACATGTCAAGTCAAGTTTAGAGGAAAAAAGATATAGAATACGAATGTAACACTATTACATTATCTATGCTATCATTAAGTGAATTTGTGTCACTTTTTAAGTTTTTTTTTTCTCGTCTATTTTTAAATTGGTGTCGCTTTTGAGTTTTTGTTGTATATCATCTAACTTTAAATTAATTGTGCTTATAGTGATTAAATATAATAACTATTTTGCATATATGCATTGACTTATGGTACCATGTCATTTACACATATTCTCCCCATTTTTAATTGGTAGTGGACACGTACAAATTTTAAAACTAGAAAAGCTGTAACGGCCTTTCACATAATATATTAGTTGAATCACTAACTTAGATAATTTTGTGAAATAGAAAGACGAGTGGAAAGTAGAATAAAGGCCAAG